AGTGTTGCAGGGACAGTAGTAGCAGCAGCTGCAGCAGCAGCTGCTGCAGCAGCAGTAGTTGCCGCTGCAGCTGCTAGTTCAGTTTGGATGTGTGCGTGTGCGCTAAAGCAGCAGCACCGCAGCAGCACCGCAGCAGCAGCAGCAGCAGCAGCGCCTGCTATAGCTGAGGAAGAATATGTGGCCGTTCCTGTTCAAGCCGCAGCAGCAGCATTAGCTGCAGCAGCAGCAGCATCATCATCATGAGCTGCTGCAGATTCTGCAGCAAACTCAATTTGGTGTGGCGCCTTAAAGCTTGCATATCTTGTTCCGTTTGTCTCATCTGCTGCTGCTGCATTTGCTGCTGCACTTGCTGCTGCTGCAGGTGCTGCTGCAGCTGCTGATGTTTGCTGCTGCAGTTGCTGATGCACTTGCTGCTGCACGTGATGCTGCACTTGCTGCTGGCGCCCGCCGCCGCCGCAGCAGCAACAGCAGCAGCAGCAGCAGGTCTTGCTGCAGCAACTGGGTGTACGTAAACAATCTACTACAGCATAACCAAATAATGACTGGAGAGACAGCAAACCCTAAACCCTAAACCCTAAACCCTAAACCCTAAAAATTCTCCAGTCAAAGACACAAGTCAAACACTGCAAAGAAAAGAAACAGTTTCGCATACATCAAGCCCGCAGCAGCAGCAAGAGCAGCAGCAGCAGCAGCTGCTGCTGCTGCTTTTGCTGCTGCTGCAGCAGTTGCTACTGCACTTGCTACTGCAGCTGCTACAGCTCTTCCCGCTGCTGCAGCACTACAGCTACAGCAGCAGCTAATACAGCTACTGCTGCAGCGGCAGCTAATACAGTTGCTGTTGCTGCTGCAGCAGCCACGCTGCTGCTGCAGCTATTTGCAATCTTGTAGCATTGCCTCTGGGAGTGGGTATCTTGCTGCTGCTGCTGCTGCTGCTGCTGCTGCTGCTGCCGGTTCTGCTGCTGCTTCTGCAGAGGAATTTTCTACGGCGCCCATAAGGATGCGGCAAGCGCGCAGCACTGAGTTGCACATACACCCCAACACAGCAGCAGCAGCAGCAGCAGCAGCAGCAGCAGCAGCAGCAGGATAAGCAGGATGAATACGTGTGCGGTTGCTGCAGCAGCAACAGCAGCAGCACCAGGATGAATATATTTGCAGTTTAGTTAGAGGTTGTTGCTTTAGTTAGTGCTCTGGGGTGTACGTACACCTGTGGGCTTCTCTGCAGCAGCCAATGCAGCAGCTGCTGCTGCTGCTGTCGCTGCAGCGGCAAGTTGCTGCCTCTACGTGCTGCTGCAGCAGATCGTAGGCCTCCAACACCAACTTTATGTACTCCTCATCACTGCAGCAGCAGCAGCAACAGCAGCAGCAGCAAAAACAACAAAGCAACATTAAACAGCACCAACTCAATCACAGCAGCGGCAGTGTAAGCTGCGCTCGCAACACAGCCACAGCAGCAGCAGCAGCAGCAACTGCAGCAGCAGCAACAGCAGCAGCAGCATACTTCGAAGAGGGGGAGACAGCCTTCCGCAGCAGGCACCTCGCCAGGTGTACGTTCACCAGATGCCGAGCAAACGCAAAGGGGGTGCTGGCAGCAGCAGCTGCTGCTGCATGCGCCAGGGGCAGCGCCTCCTCCACTCTGCAGCAGCAGCAGCAGGAATAGCAGCAGCAGCAGCAATAGCAGCGACAAACGCAGCAGCAGCAGTGGGTAGAACATCAAAAGCCTGTGTAAAGCAGCAACACCAGCCGCAACAGTAGCTGCTACGCCGCAGCAGCAGCAGCTACAGCTACAAATACGCACCAGCAGCAACAGCAGCTAGAATGGTTGCAGCAACTAGAGCAGCAGCAGCAGCAGCAGCAGCAGCAGCAGCAGCAGCAGCAGCAGACCTGTTTGCATTCAGTAGTGCTGTGGAGAGCTCATAACATGCGCGAGGGTCTCGGGGCCTCAAGGCACTGAATCAACGAACAGCAGCAGCAGCAGCAGCAGCAGCAACAGCAGCAGCAGCAGCAGCAACATATCCTCACGCACAGGCCGCTGAACTACTCAGCAGCAAATCCGTGCACACAGAAGCAGCAGCAGGAAACAACAGGCAGCAGCTACAGCTGAAGCGGAAGCAATAGCAGCAGCAGCGCCAAGCGCAGCAGCAATAGAAGCACTAACAGCAGCAGCAACGACAGAAGTAGCAGCACCACCAGCACAAACGGCAGCAGCAGCAACATCAGCAGCTAAAACAGCAACAGCAGCATCAGCTACAGCAGCAGCATCTGAAGCATCAGCTGCAGCAGCAACAGCAGCAGCAACAGCAGCAGCAGCAGCATTGCCTGACTGTGCACTGAGGAGACACTCGAATGAACGAGAGGATACACCGCGCGGATCTCTTTCTAAGGCAAACAATATCAGAGGCAGCGGCTCCCTGCAGCAGCAGCAGCAGCAGCAACAGCAGCAACAGCAGCAGCAACAGCAGCAACAGCAGCAACAGCAGCAGCAGCAGCAGCAACAGCAGCACTGTTCATGGCTGTCTCTTTTTTATTTGTTTGTGTCTCTCTTGTTTTATTTATTTATTTGTCTCTTTATCTATATCTGTCTCTGTTTATTTATATATCTTGTATTTGTTTATTTATTTATTTATTTATTTATTTATTTATTTATTTATTTATTTATTTATTTATTTATCTGTCTCTGTCTTTTTATTTATTTTTCTGTATTTATCTGCACTTTGTTTTTTTGTTTGTCTCCTTTTTTGCCTCTATTTAATTTATTTAATTTAATTAATTAATTAATTTATTAATTTATTTATTTATATTAGTTTATATTATATTTATTTATTTATTTTATATTTATTTATTTATTTATATTTATTTATATCTTTTTATCTGTCTCCTTCCTAATATTTATATACCCCGGCATATGTCTTGAAGCCTCCTGGTAAGCAGCAGCAGCTTGCTGCTGCTGCTGCTGCTGCTGCTGCTGCTGCAGCGCAACAGCACTAAGGCAATGGCCCAAGCAAAGATGGTTTAAACCCCAGCAAACAGAACAAAGAGATCCGCCTCCAAACGATAGGCTTCGCCTGCTCACCAAACCCTAAACCCTAAACCCTAAACCCTAAACCCTAAAGCTGAAGGACCGTCACCTCAAATCGCCAGACGCTCAGTCACAGTAGACCCTTAACCCTAAAACCCTAAACCCTCTCACACTATTACACCTAAACCCTAAACCCTAAACCCTAAACCCTAAACCCTTCGCACCTGAAGGCGGCGATTGCCTCTGCGTACTGCGACCTCATCATTAAAAACACCCCTTCCTGAAACCACAGCAGCAAATCAAACCGAAGCAGCAGCAGCAACAAAAGATCATCAGTAACAGTCGCAGCAGAAGCTGCAGCAGCTGCTGCTGTAGCTGCTGCTGCTGTAGCTGCTGCTGCTGTAGCTGCTGCTGCTGTAGCTGCTGCTGCTGCTGTTGCACTGTTTACCGCGTAGAAGCGCAAGTCATCAGAGCCCTTGTGCTGCCGCAGGCGCTGCAGCAGCAGCAGCAAATCCGATGTCTTCCCTGAAGGCATAACAGCAGCAGCAGCAGCAGCAACCTAGCTTGAGCAGCAGCAAGAGCAGCAGAAGCAGAAGCAGCAGCAGTAGCAGCAGCAAACGCAGGCGACACCGTGGCACCCATGCAGCAATACCTCCACAGGCAGCAGCAGCAGCAGCAAGAGCTGCAGCATCCAGGAAAGGAACAGAAGCAGCAGCAACAGCAGCAGCAACGGCAGCAGCAACAGCAGCAGCAGCAGCAGAAGTACCGAGCTGCATGCAGCAGCTGATGAAGACAGGAGCCGCGTACAGCCCTTCACTCAACACCTCCAACGCCCTGCAAGCCCAAACCCTAAACCCTAAACCCTAAACCCTAAACCCTAAACTCCAAACCTTAGAAATGAAACGCTGAACTCATCGGCGATCTTCTTGGTGGACAGGCTAAGTTGCTCTCTCTAAACCCTAAACCCTAAACCCTAAACCCTAAACCCTAGCAGCCTTACAAGCGAGCGACCTCAAATGCGAGGGGAATATTCCTCTCTGCATGCAGCGCGATTGCCTGGATGCTCAAGCTTACGCTGCAGCAGTAGCAGCAGCAGCAGCAGCAGCAGAAAGCAGAAAGAGCAGCAGCAGCAGCAACAGCAGCAGCAACAGCAACGGCAGTAGAATGCAGCAGCAAAATGCATGCGGCGCTGCCAAGAAGGAATGAATACGCATCAGCAGCACGGGGTCTTAGCGTCTTCTTCATCTGATGTTATGGTTTAGGGTTTAGGGTTTAGGGTTTAGGGTTTAGGGTTTAGGGTTACTGCGAGAATCTGCAGAGAGGAGGCAGCAAACTCGTCGGATAGCGACACGCAACAGCAGCAAGCGCTGGGCTCTGCAGCAATTCCTGTTGCTGCTGCTGCTGCTGCTGGTCTTGCTGCTGCTGCTGCTGCTGCTGCACCTGCTGCTCGCAATCCCTAATCAGCAGCAAACCCCTGTCTTGCTCTTCCTCCGCCTTGTACTTATTTCCGTGCTGCTGCTGCTGTTGCTGTTGCTGTTGCTGCTGTTGCTGCTGCTGTCTTTCCTGACGCACCAAAGCCAGCAACTCCAACGGGGTCTGCAGAAGACGCAGCAACGGCAACAGCAGCAGCAGCAGCAGCAATGGAAGCAGCACGAACAACGGCAGCAGCAGCAACCGCAGCAACAGCAAAAGCAGCAGCAGCACGGCCGCTTGAAGCCCACTTCCCCATAATGCCTGCCCGTGTTGCTGCTGCTGCTTCTGCTGTTGCTGCTGCTGCTGCTGCTGCTGCTGGGAAAGGGAAGAGTTACCGTCCGAGCAGCAGCAGAAGACAAAGTAACAGCGAGGTGCCTGCATGCAAAGACACCCCACAGTTGCTGTTGCTGTTGCTGTTGCTGCTGCTGCTGCAGTTGCTGCTGTTTAGCTGCAGCAGCAGCAACAACAACACGGGCGGCTGCTGCTGTTTCTGCTGATGTTTCTGCTGCTGCTGCTCCTGCTGCTGCAGTAGATTGCTCTTACAGGGCCCAGCTGCAGCTGCTGAAGTCAGCAGCAGCAAGAAGTGCTGCTTCTTGTTTGTAGGTGAGGATCCCCGATCCAAACAAAAGAAATAAAAGCTGCACCGAACCACAAACCCTAAACCCTAAACCCTAAACCCTGATTTGTAGTGCTGAGCCCAGCAGCCAGAGAGGAGATGTCCGCTGCTGCTGCAGCAACTGACCCTGCTACTGCTGCTGCTGCTGCTGTTGTTGCTGCTGCTGCTGTTGCTGCTGCTGCAGTAATCTGCCAACCATCAACAAGGGTAAAGAGCCGCATGAGAATCTTAGGGTGTTTAAGGCTAAGGGTTTAGGGTTTAGGGTTTAGGGTTTAGGGTTTACCTTCGGCCGAAGAGGGTTTAAACAAAACGCCGCCTGCAGCTCCGCCAGACCCTCAGCGCATCCCAGACGATCCAACGCAAACCCTAACTTCACCTGCAGCAGCAGCAGCAGCAGCAGCAGCAGCAAGAGCAGCAGCAGCAACAGTACGGATGGAAACAACAAAGCTGCAACAGAGCAGCAACAGCAAAACCACCGACAAAGCCGAACCGGAGAAGCAGCAGCAGCAACAGCTGCAGCAGCTGCAGCAGCTGCAGCAGCAACACGAGAGGCATAATTAGCACCAGCAGCACAGGAACAGGCACAGCAGCAGTAGCAACAACAGCAACAGCAGGAACCGCAGCAGCCCGGTCTGCAGCAGCAGAAAGCCAGCGGGCCGACGCGCGCTGCAGCAGCACCCCGAGCAGCAGCAGCAGCAGCACATGCAACAGCAACAGCTGCAACAGGAACAAACGGGGAAACAGCGACGAGAAGACTTCAGCAGCGAGACAGCAGCAAGAGTAGCAACAGCTGAGCACGTCCGCAGCAACTGAAACAACTGCACCACCAACAACAACAGCAACAGTAGCAACAGCAGCAGCAGCAGCAGCAGCAACAGCAGCAGCAGCAACGGCAAACCTGTATGTCGTGTGCTAGAGGAGAAGACCCCCAAACGCTGCTGCGCGTCTTCTGCAGCAAATCGCATCCTTTAGATAGCCCTTCGCTGCTGCCTGTCTCCATCTGCAGCAGCAGCAGCAGCAGCAACAGCAGCAGCAACAGCAGCAGCAGCAGCAACAGCCAGAACAGCAACGGCGACATGGCTTGTCTCTACTTCATTTCCCTCTAGAGCAGAACGGTTGCTAGTGCTGCTGCTGCTTCTGCTGCTGCTGCTTACATGAGCTGTTGCTGCGAGCAGCAGCAGCAGCGGGTCTTTGAAGGTCCACCGCCTGAATGCATGCAGCAGCTGCTGCAGCAAACGAAGGATGTCTCGTCCTCGCAGCAGCGCCTCAGCAAACAAACGAAGGCTGTCAAGGTGAAGACACTCGCTGCTGCTGTTGCTGCTGTTGCTGCTGTTGCTGATGCTTTTGGTGCTGTTGCTCGGAGAAGGCTTTGCTGCCGGGGCGCTGCAGCAACCCCCGTCGTCTCCTTTGTCTCTTCTGCTGCTGCTGCTGCTGTCATTGTTGTTATTGCTGCTGTTGCTGCTGCTGTTACATCCTTCAGATGCGGGAACCGTCTGGTGAGCTGCTGTTGCTGCTGCTGTTGATGGTGCTGTTGCTGCTGCTGAGTCGCTGCTGCTGCAGCAGCAGCAGACAGAGCGAATGCCTCTCTGCTGCAGCATTTTCTTAGCAGCAGCAGCAGCAGACTCCTTCCCTGGGGCCCCCACACCACCGCCAGGATGCGCAAGACATACGAGGACCTCCGCGTACAGCAGCATTGCTGCAGCAGCAGCAGCAGCAACAACGACAACAACAGCAGCAGAGGCAAATAATGACACGCAGCCTACGAATCACAGCAGCATTCGCTGCTGCTGCTGTTGTTGTTGCTGCTGCCGCTGCACCACCGACGCAATTTGTCTCTGCAGCATTCGCTGCTCCAGCAAGTGGGCGTCAGCAGCAGCAGCAGCAGCAACAACAGCAGAAGCAAGGATAACAACATCAGCAGCAACAACAACAACAACAACAGCAACAACAACAGTAGCAGCAACAACAGCAGCAGCAAGAGCAACAGCAGCAGCAGCAGCACAAACCCACCCCGAGGATCCTTAAAGGCCCTCGCTTCGATGCATTTCCTTCGGAGGTGAGCGTACAGCTGAAGACTCCCATCTGCTGTTGCTTCTTGCGTTGCTGCTGCTGCTGCTGTTGCTGCTGCTGCTGTTGCTGCTGCTGCGTAAGGGCTGCAGCAACCCGCAGTCTCTAACGGGGAAGGCCCCCGTGTCATTGTGCTGGAGGCTATGCAGCCTATAAACAGCAGCGGCAACAGCAGCAACAGCAGCAGCAGCAGCAGCAGGAGATGTTTACGGCATCTGCATGCGTGGGTGGCGTTCTATGAGCTGCTGCTGCTGTTGCAGTTGTGCTGCTGCTGCAGCTGCTGTTGCTGCCGCTGCTGTTGTGCTGCAGTTCCCGCTGCGAGTGTCGC